AGATGACAACATTACGACATGGGTGCACCTACAGAAACCAACAACGAATGGATTGACGCGTGTGACACTCAAAAAGAACGGGACGATCAGGTAAATTATTTTACGTGTAAACTATGCAACTGATAAGTGCGTATCGTACTGTATTTATTTACTCAAATAGCTAACGGTATCCTGAAATTCTGTACTGTACTTTTTTTAATTATCAATATGTACTAACTTTTGGTTTATATTACTGCTTCGGTATTCTAAACTACGTACCAGCTCTTGGACAGTACAACCCTTATATAGTACAACCAACAACCACGAAGAACAGGTAATTTATCTAATACTACTGTCCATTATATTTTTCTAATTATGTAATTTGCAAAAGAATATTACAAAAATTCTGTTATATAGCTGGTAAACTTTTGTTATCAACGTGGGGTACTGCAATTAGTGTGTTATAATGTACACAGTAAAGTCCGCTTTAACGAAGATGGCCTTATAACGAAGCTTTTTCAGGAACCGATATTGATTCATATATGCTTAGCTCCCGGTTTAACGAAGATTTATAATTAAAATCTGTATAACGATATAGCGAAGAAATTTCAAATCCGCTATAAGATAAACCATTCAGTTTGACGAAGATTGCCTAATATACTGAAATTTTGGTGCATAACGAAGTACTGTGAAATTCACTTTAACGAAGACATTCGTTCCACGATTTTGCTTCGTTAACCTGAAAGTTCGCTTAAGTAAACTGTCTTTTTTATAAATCCGTTCTGGAAAAAACTTCGTTATAAAGCGATCTTCGTTAAAGTGAATTTCACTGTGTAGTGTTACTGTATATAGAGATTTAAACAATACACTGCATGTAATAAAGATGTCTAATTCTTCGCCCATTCAGATTGCAAGTGATTGTGAGGAACAAGCCTCACCATTGTTAGGTGTAGAATCTTCTCCCAAAAAACGTCCCCGAGTTAAAGACAAATATTGTTCCAGATTAAAAAAACTACGTACGAATCTTACAATTGTTATGAAGAAGGAAATATATCAGTACGAATAAATCCCACTGCAAACGAATATCACGTGATTATAATAAAAGTTCGTTATATAGGTAAAGTCCAACAGTCCGCATTAACGAAGTTTTTTGGCGGAACGGAGCTCTTCGTTAAAGCGGACTTTACTGTGTACTATTAGAATGTCCTACATATCGAGGTAATAGAGCATATTCCATCCATAAAGTCTAATAAGTAAAACTCCCTAGCTTCAAGGTTTCAAACGCAAAACTTTATTCAATTCGTATTTTACAATACCATTATAATCACAGACAGTGATCAATTGTTATTACTTGCGTGCACCACCTAATAATCTATACACGCCTGTTAACCACAGCAGAGGTATAAAATACAGTTTGTAGTCCAAGACTCGGACTCAGGATAGTTATACTTTACTACTGTTGATTTCGAATTTGATTAGGTTCCTTTTCCATGTTCAGCAATTCTCTCGTCATCTGTACTCGTTCACGTAGTAATTCGTTACGTCGTTGCTCTGCCTCGATATCAATATTTACGCTAACGTTGACACTATTCAACGTAGATTCTTCCTGATTGGTGTTGCGTTGTCATGCGGCGTATTCTTCTAGTTGGAGTGTTCCTTATAACTTTGCGTTTCTTTACAATGGATGGTTTAGATTGTATTTCATAGAATCTCCAATCCTAATACTTCAGTTAGACTTGCAATCCTGAAAGTGTCTGCTTTAACAATCTTCTTGGTTTTTTTTTAACAAATCAGAATCTGAATCATAAAGTGGCATCTTTTCATGAAGAAGAGTTTCTTGTGTATTGTTGTTGAGTGATAATAATAACTCTGATGTTGGGCATAAGTCCATTATATTAAGTCCATTATATTACAGGAACGAGCAAAATGCTCAGAAACAGTCTTTTCAGCAGTTGATGCTTTGACCATGTCTTGCAGAATATTGTGCACTAGGGCTGTCTAAATTCAAGTAATAAATTAGAATTTCCTCAAGAGCTTGATCAATATGAGATTCCATCAGTATCAGGACAAAATTGCACTAACCTCATCATTGTAATGTTTCTTATCATTCTCATCCTCCGAATCAGTGGTAGTGTCATTGCTATCATTTTCTAAAATTTGCTCATCTTCAATCGTCCTAGTACTCTCTTCCTCTTCTTGACAATGTGTGAATCGACTCTTTATGTTGGAGGTGGCTGCATTGACCATTTGGTCCGTGGTTATATCATCTAAACAAGCGTGTTTGAGATAATAAGAAAACACATCGAATGCATGTCAATATCTTAATACACATAAAACTATTACTATCACACGCTTAAGTCTGAATACACATCAAAGAGTTCTGAATTATGTTTTAAGAAAAGAATACCATGAACATAAGTCGGACTTAACCTGTTGCGTTTTTCAGTAATTATACTTCCGGCATCCGAAAATAATCTCCCAGAAAAAACCGACGAAGCAGGTATCGCATGGTGGGGTAGAATCCTACTATGCAACTTCCACCAACTAAGTGGATTTTCCGTTTTATACAACGGATCGTTGGGAGGGTGGGTGGGATTGGTAACATTGTGGAATCTAATTGTATCTCGTTTTGTATGGAGGAAACGTCATCTTCATCTATATCATTGAAAAAACTGTTTCATTTTCACTGTGAGTGTCGCACTTGCTGAGTCATCTGTTTCCATAATTCGTTGTACTTCCGTCATAACGCCTGCCTGTTTCTCAACACTTAAGAATTTCAGTTTTGAAGCGAGGGTCGAAGTATGAGGCAAAAGACCCCATCGACAAAGTATTCTGCCAGCGTATCTCTATCTGCTCATCAATATGGTCTCTCACTCTTGCCACAATCGCAGGTAAGTTATAAATTGAGCAAGATGGTTACGGATTTTGTTTATGGATGTTGTTGTTGTTGTTGTTGTTGTTGTTGCTGTTGTTGTTGTTGTTGTTGTTGTTGTTGTTGTTGCTGCTGTTGCTGTTGCTGTTGCTGCTGCTGCTGCTGTTGCTGCTGGGTATATCATAGATAGTGTCAGATAATGGCTTCCGCCAATAATGTCTGTGACCTGGACAAATGGCTTCAACAATTCTGCTTAACACTAGCCATTTGTTGTCACTTAATAAGAGGTTTTCCAGATTATTTCCATCGTTTCGAACTGAATATTCAGTATCGTTCTTGATAACAGCAGCCAGGGAATGCGGAGTGTAAGAAGGCAGCACAAGGTAATGTCATACCAGACATTTGTCTGATTGGTCAATTCAAAATTTAATATTATTGGTTGATAGATCGATATTTGGCTTGGCTAATAAAAAAATAATTTATTATTATTATAATTTTACAAATCTTTCGAGCGCTGATTTGAATTGATTTGTTGTTTTCTTGATTAATACAAGTGAAACTCGATAAGCCGAAGGTGCAGGATGAGACAATTTATTCGGCTTATCGAGATTTTCGTTTTATCAAATTTCGTAATAAGCCAAATTTATATATAGTTTACACAAGCTTTCTTACTATGATAAAATGCAAGAATACTCGTTTGCTGTAACATATTCTGTTGTTTTCTTTAACTTTTTTAGATTAGATAAGAAGGCAGTATCAACTTGAAGCTCACTATCACAATCTTGAGTAATATACAGAAGCAAAGAATTGACATGCTCAAGAGCTGATTTATGAGAAATAGATTTGACTATTGGGGAGTCTTCCGACTCCGACAAGTCTTCTCCTTCTATTGTTGCAATAATAGAAATTCTGTTGTCGGCATATCCTGTATAGAGATAAAATAACTAACTTCTTCACGATCGATAGGAAAGCCACGTGCGCGAAATGATGTGATGAAGAATGGCCTATGAACAATCAAGCGATTGTTTATGACATTACAATGGCATGTGAAAAGAATTGATTTCGATCATGGGATTTAAGAATGAACCAATCAAGATAAATTCACGTGATTACTTCGGTAAAATTATTATAGTCGGTTAGCCAAAAATCTTCGGCTTATCGTTTAACGCGAATTTACTAATTTCGGCTTAGGCTATAATAAAATTTTTGGGGGAATTAAAAAACAACAACTTCGGCTTAATGCAATTTCAGCTTAGCGTGATTTCGGCTTATCGAGTTTTACTTGTATCACCCTGAGGATTATCTTCACTAATGAGTCTACGTATATCGGACAATAAACAGTTAGTAAATAATTTTCGGAACGTGCATGTTGTTTTGCAAACCGATCATTAAAAAATTAAGAAAGGATCGATCTTCTATTTTAGTGATCAAAATGTTATTATCAACAATTTGTGGGTTATGTATACATTATCTTCAACATTTCTTGGAATCGCACAGGGATCGCAAGGACTATAATGTGTACTAGTTAACGTAGTTATGGGAATTCGTAGACCATAAATGTTATCGATTATGGCATTCATTCGATGCTTTACAAGATCTCTTGTCACATTATCTCTGTAAATAGATGATGTAATTTTTTATCACGTCGACGTAGAACTCGACCGCATGTTAGATAAGGGATCAAATTGCTTGATCAGACGTACTTGAATGATTTAGAACATCGTAATATCCTTTTTCAATGAACTGATATGTTTGTTTCCAATCCCCGCAAGAAAATAACATAAAAACGAGAGGCCTTTCTGCTGTTACGCCACGAGACCTCTACCACTCGGTTTAAGGCCAATATCCTTTGACTCCAACTCCAGCCAAAGTAACTTCCAATCATATACTGGTACCTTTTTTTTCTTCTTTTTTTCTCTTGTATAAAAATTTGCCATTGATCTAACACATTCAATAAAATCAATCTCCCATCGTCACTTACCTCTGATATCTCCATTATTAACTCTTGTTGACTATCATAATGATCAACTTGTTCTGCCACTGCTTCACCCTGTATCCATTGTCGCTTTGAAGAAACTGCATTCTTAGATGTCTCAGAATCTTTAGCAGTACCACATACAATTGTTACGGTCGGGAATTAAATGGGGGGTTTTGGGAGAGCGATTTATTTTTTCGTGTAGGTGTGTTCGCCGACCGGGGGATGTTACCAGGCTTAGCTCGTACTATCGCCCTTACTACGATAGTTG